GACAAGGATCTGAATCAATGAGTTCTAGCCTAGTGGGCTGCATGTGGGCCACTATGCACTGGTATATCAATGCTTATTGATTGTTATTCAATAATTAGGCCTCAGTTATATGAAGAACATGATGATGTTCATTGTTCTTCTGGTTTTCTATTAATGTGGAGGGTTGAGTTGAGGTAACACTGTTTTTGCCCTGCAAGTCCTTACTTGAGAAGAAAAATCAAAAGGCCATAGAGAATGTAATTCATGGCAGAGCCTGAGCTCAAAGAATATCTAGTGAACTGAGGGGCATAACCATTCAGCAGAAAAGTATAAAAATGAAGTATAAGAAGTAAAGCCATGGTGTTATGTTGAGCTATAGGAGACTCAGGTCAACAATTTCTGACATTGCCGGTCAAGTGGAAGACCCAATACTGTTATGGACTACTGGACTATTTTGGAATATTTTGCTGAGTTCACACACCTGTAATATTTAAATAACAGAACTAAACAAAAAAGGGGATACAGATGAATGTCCATTTTGTATCTGTGTATTCAAAATAGTTAGGATAGATATATAGTTACATTCTCTTAGTGAATAGAGGGATTTGTTGTAATAGTGTTTGTAAATAGGATATCATGTCTGCATCTTGTACAGCAAATAACCACTAGGAAGAGAGTATGCAATGTGTTAATTATTGAAACTGTCCTACCAGTTTTATTTGAAACTGTCTCATTGCTATTTGTTTATCAATAAAATTATGGAAAAAATAACTGCATGATACTACATAAGTCCGGTTACAAGGACCAGCTCTCTCGTGTGATGCCTGGTGTAGATTTAGTGATTATTTGTCCATGCTTGTGGGTGAATCTTTTGCTGCACCTGTACACTATTATAGGGCTACTGTGGGAAGAAATACAGTTATACAATCTTATAAGCTGGCAGACTTAAGGATATATGGAAATGCTTTTGGAAAATTAGTACCTGGAGTTAGTTGTCTCACCACTCACCATGGCAACATGCCTTCCACTCCCCAGGATGCACAGCCAGGCCTGCTCACACCTGAGCTCCTACGGGAGGCAGAGCCATGGGCTAAGTAGTGGTGAAGGAAAGAAGTTCATCCTTCCTCACCTCAAATGCATGCTGGCTCTGGTGCATGCTGGCTTTGGATTAAGCATCAGGTAAAGGAGGCCTAAGACCTTTCCTTCTTGAAAGCAGTCTTCTCTATGAGCTGCCTCATGCGTGGCTGTGCTAGGGGAGGTTTCCAGCCTAGGCTTTGGTGAATGAAAAGGAGTTCAAGGAGAATCCTATTCATTAATGATATATGAAAAGATCATGTGAAGGTGATATGTGTCTTTGGGGAAGAGTGAGAAATTCTCATCTGTAGAATCAAAAATGCATCAGGGACTTAAAGTTCAACATATCACTACTTGATGAAAAATACTTGCTCCTTATGATGCCTAAGATGTTTGAAATGCAGTGAGATAGTGAGGTTAAGCTTAATAGCCTAAATTGTTTGATAATAACAATAAGCTTGTCTTCTGGATGGTTAACAACGTAAGTTTGCAGACCAAAATTAGAGAAAAAGGAGGGCTACAAGGAATGCCAACATTTTGGCCCTAACCTTCTAAGGTCAATTAAGACTCAGGACATATGAGAACTTGTAGTGTAACGTCATGTACCTCGGTAGTGTCCCAAATTTTCTGATCAAGGAGATTATGAGGCCAAAGAGGAAAGTGATCGATGACATAGAGTGGGCCTAAGGAGAGTCACATGGGGAGAAGACACTCTCTCAGGCTTTCACAGAGAGCACATTGGCCAAGCAATGGCCGTGACTCATCCACATGGCTGCACTGACAAAGGTTCTACAATCTGAGGTACGGGATCTCAAGATAAATCCTGAGGACATTTCACTGACCTTCTCAGACCAAAAAGCTACAACTCTTGTTGCATAGGTCCTGCTTTACCCTTGGTCTTAACCATCCAGTAGAAAAGTATGAAGATGAAATATAGGAAGTAAAGCCTTGCTGTTATGTTGAGCTGTGGGGGACTCAGGTCAGTAATTTCTGAGATTGCCAGTTAAACAGAAGACCCCATGCTATTATGGGCTGCTGGACTCTTTTAGAATATTTTGCTGAGTTTACACACCTATAATATTCAATAACGGAACTTAGAAAAACTGGGGTATACCGATGAATGTCCATTTTGTATTTGTGTATTCCAAGTGGTTAGGATAGATATATAATTGCATTCTCTTAATGAATAGAATGATTTGTTCTAATGGTGCTTGTAAATAGGATCACAAGTCCACTTCTTGTACAGCAATTAACCACTAAGAAGCATATATGCAGTGTATTATTTGTTGAAACTGTACTTCCGATTGGATTTGAAACTGTCTCATTGCTGTTTATCAATAAAACTTTGAAAAAAAAAAAGAATCAAAAATGCACACTGGAATAAAAGGTTCATCTTTTGAGGGCCATCCAATTGGAGTTGAGGTGCTGAGATTTTGTTTTTGAAAGTGATGGGGAGCTATGAAGGCGAGGAAGGGAAATGACCAGTCCTGAATTTTAGCCACATCCCTGTAGCGGCTGCTTGGAGGCTCTGCTGTGGAAGAAACAACTGAGATAGAGGGAAAGAGTTGGAACCTTGGTGCTCGAAGCATCCTTATGAACCATGTACAGAGAAGCATGTTAGAAATCAGGGTTTCGGTCATCATGCAGACATACTCAGTCACCCCAACAAGATCCTCAGGTAACTTCAAGCACCTTCTGAGAACTGCTGACTTAAGAGTCATGCCAATGGCTCTTTATGATGTTCACAATACACCCTGTAGGAAGGATGACCTAACCTTTTTCTTTTCATACCACAGACTTACAGATCATACTATGACCCAGAAAGGCTGATAGAAAAAATATTAAAATTATTATATTTCAATGCTACAAGAAATTCTACCCTTCCGAGTCATGACTTTTCAAAATGTCATTAAGTCCTGGATTGTTAATGTGTGCATAGGCCCAGGGAGTAACATCGATGATATTAACCATGGTTCTATTTTATTTCTTAAGCTCAGTGATGGGGTTCAGGTGTTCATCACAGTATAATTTGCCAATTTTTGTAGGCTGAAAAATTTTATACTTCAAACTCATAAACTCTTGATTAAGTAGTAGTATATAAGGATCTACCAAAGGAAAAGGAGCAAGAAAAGAAATTCATGCTCCAAAGTGATGCTCAAAGACATGCTGCAGGTGGGAATATAATTTCCCACTACTTCTGGGTGGGAGTGGAAGGAATATGAATAATAATAGGTTTGTTGAGTGCTCAATATACTGTTCTGAGGGTACTTGCTGTGTGCTCAGTGTTATTTTAAAAACTTTATATGTAATGCATTTAAGTTTTAGTCACTCTTCCAGGTAAGGTGTGTTTATCCCCATTTCACAGGGATATTTTTGTAAGTAAAAAACTAAGATTGGAAGAGGCCAGGCTCTCTGCTTGAAGCCACAGTGATAATCAGGTCATAGAAATTCAAGGTCTAAGTTCTTAGCACTATACTATGTAGCCTAGCATACAGCCTTCCTATAGAAATAAATATTGATGGAAGGCTGAGAAGGAAGGGTAATAATAATAAAATAGTGTGCTGTCTTTCCTTGGTCAGGTCAAGGTAAGTCGAATGGAACACATGTTTGGCCCTATGGTTATAATTCTTGTTCTATTTGTTAGGTGTTCTATGCATATTTGAACTTGAGAAAATGTAGTTTGGAACTAGAAATGAAGAATATTGAGAACAAGGTCCCCATTTGGATATAAATCCTGCTCTGATGCAGATCTGAGGCTCAGAAGCCTCATGTGCTGGGGTGCTGACCGGGTCATGAGGTGCAGGTGTCGTATACCAGATGTGCTAAGTCTGCTATGTGAGAGGGAGCCCGTTGGCGGTGGGTCACTGGAAACATAACCTGGAAGTGCACACTGCCTCCCCCAGGTCCTCCCTTTGCTCTCTGCTTCTTGGTTGCCATGATGGGAGCAGCTTTCGTCCGCCACACCCTTCCCCCAGGACATCTGTACATCTGCACCTGTTTGTAGTGAACTGAGGCTTCTGAGACTGAGAACGAAAATAAAGCTCCTTTCCTCTCAGTGGTGTGTATCAGGTACTGTGTCTTAGTAACCAAAAAACGTGACTAAAACAAGTTAATAATTTAAAAATTATTAATGGTCTCTCTTGGACTGAACTCCTAAACATGCTTCAAGACCCAGCTGCCCTTCTGATGTGACTCATTTGGGCATTTTCTGAAATGAGGAGTGCTTGCTCCTCAGTCCTCTGCCCACCATCGTCACTGTCATGGATTGCACCGACTGTGTACCAAAATTGTCATGAGCAAGTCACTTCTCTCCTCAGCTCAGTTCTGGGGGGTCACTATCAGCACCTCCATTTTACGGAGACAGAGACTGATGTGATTCAAAATGAAGTAACTCATCATACGATTAATAAGTGACAGAGCCAGAATTCCAGCCCCATGCTCTTCAGACCTCACACTAGCAGGGTGGTGTCTTCCCACCTTACTATGCTTTCTAAATTATTTAAAGAACCGAGGGTGCTATTTTTGTGCTGGGTGTCACAATGGTGACCAAGCGCAGTCTGTCTGTCAGGAGCGTCCAGTCTAGAAGAAGGGTAGGGGGACATTCTTCTACAAAGTGACACCAACATCAAGGAAGACTTGGAAGGAAGACAGTGTGAGTCTCCCCACAGCTGCCTGTGTCACTGGAGCATGCAGGTCACTGGCAGAGAAAGCGTAGTCATGAGGCTGGATTGCTGGTCAGTCTGCATAGCGCAAAGCTTTTTCCAACTTTGTAAGGAGGGCAGTAGGAACTGCTGAATGGATTTAAAGAAATTTGGAAGGTGCTATTTTACACTATATTCCTTTCCTTATTAACATCTATAGTGACCTTCAAGAAAACTAATCCACCAGCGATTTCATGCTCATTCAAGAAATTTTTAAAGAATAACAATGAAAGACATAGGGGAGGGGAAACCAATAAAACATAACACTTTATTATCATTATTTTATCTTAGAAGGAATTCACCAAAGGCTTCATATTATGCTATGGCATCTTTAATTATAAAAATAAGCAAATAAAATAACTTGCATCTGTCATTACCATGATATGTTTCATAACCTTTATGTGCACATGGAGCTTAAAAATGTAATTTAACAATAAATAATGACATATACCAGATATGCTCACTGTTTATTCCAGTACTCAGCCAAAAACCTAAATATCATTTAAATTATAAATACATAATGCAAATATAATGGCACAAAAATATCTAAAGTGCAACCAAATCACGAGAGAGAGAGAGGAGTCATGCAACTGGTCTAGGTCAGCCCCGAATCACTCTGTGCCACAAACACAAGACGAAGCTTTGGAAGTTTAAGGAAGAGTCGGAGGGAGTGAGGAGGGGGAAAGAGAAGCAAAAAACTAGCAACATCGTGAGAACTGCTTCTTTCCATGTGTGTAGATATATGTATTGTAGCTACATATATAAATATTACCGTGGGGGAGAAAAGGGGGTACCATGGTTTGAAGAGGTCATAGCCAAAAAGAAAAAGAGACAGAGACAATCTACTGGACTGAAATAAGAGAGAATTTTGCTAGGAATCCTCATGAAGTACTTGTCACTTTGGGGTCCTGGGTTAGTGGGTTTGCAAAATGGACACAACACACACACTTGATTCGCTTTTCTGGTTCAGAGAAGTCAGCCTTGCCTGGGGTGGGACGTGGGGGAGAGAGGGGGTATCTAACTTAGAGTATGCTCTACCTGATTTCCAAGAGGCTAAGGCAGTGTCCATTTGTCTGGGGACCTGGGGATGGGACAGTTCTGAGTATAAAAACGCCCTTACAATCTGATGTCAGCACGCTTAGAGGCTACGTGGGGACAGAGGCAGCAGCATTTGTACTGCCGCAGCTGCTGGGTCTGCTGCCCTTGATCTTGCTCCTTGAGCAGCACGTTTTAAAGGCTTCGTGGTAAAGTTGTATTGCTTTTCATTTTTCTGGAGAGGTGCCATCCCTCCTCCCACCAGGGTCCTTCTCACTCGACTTGGTCAAATCTTGAGTTTAGCCTAGTGAGAGTCAAGCACCAATAGTTTCTACCCAAGCGAGTTTGGAGTGGCCCCTGCAGAACTAACCCTCCTCCCTCTTCCTCTCTCAACATTGACCTTTGGTGGGCAGTGACGCTCATAAGGGACTGTTGGGTTTAAGGACAGTGACCCTGAGAAACGACTGCTGTTCATAGATAGGTTAGTCATTTGGCTTTGGTGGTTGCCATCTTGTAAACATCACGGCAGGAATGATCAAACCACCAGCTCGTTTTCCCTCTTTCTTTCTTTTTTTTTCTTTTCTTTTTTTTTTTTCTTTTTTTAAACGATCCTACAGAGATGGTCCAGCTGCCAGGGCTACTTTGGCAGGCAGCATGCTACAGGTCAAAAATGTAAGAGGAATCTATTAAGGCTGGACAGCCCAGGGTTACTTATGCTCCCTCAGCCCCAAGTCCCCCGGACTGAAGACCCAAAGGCTCACTGACTCATCCCTGATTGATTTTGTGGCCAATCTCCCACCCCATCATCATCTGCCAGAGAGCCAGGAGTGGATGAAAGATGGCGAGCTAGGCACCACCACTTCCCAAGGTATAGTTGGCCTTATCACGCTAAGTGGTCTGAGCCCAAAGGGATGCTCTTTTGGGTTCCTATAATTCACAGTTGGATTTGACAGAGCTGGTTCAGGATAAGTCTAAGTCAAGTGTAGCCTCTGGGTTGAGGTGGGCTGGGAGGTTAACATCTTACCTGGGGTCCTTTAGATAAACCTGTTGGTTTTTCCTATCTTGTATAGGTCCATCTTAAGTTTCGATGTTGAGTTAAAACTACTTCTACCCCCTTAGTTATAAAAAAGGCCACAAGGAGCATTTATGTGGATATCTGGAAGTGAGATAATTATTCCATTCCCAGGAAAAGAAAAATAAAGCTAAGTTACAAAACTAAATCTATATGCAATAAAGTTATTATATACTGCTTTGTTAAGCAGAGTCCTCTGGAATTTATGTACAGTACATTAGTTTTCAGCTATTTATATTCCACAGTTAGACCTTAAGATTCTCTGGTTTTAAGACAATTGTTAAAGATACTTTTAAAGCTCTGAGCAGTTACAGTACATAAAGATGTTAGCTTTTTGTTTTTCATTAGATGCAAGAAGATGCAGGCTCAAAGTCTGGTTGGAGAGCCAGACTCGAGCAATTTGGTAAATGTGTCAGAAAGGAAATTAGACATTGGAGGATCAAGACCATAAGACACTAGCTCATTAGAGATCAAGAATTCAAACATGACATTCATATTCGTCCATGGCCAGCACAGATTCATAACACGAATTCCATTTAACATCTTTATGAGCATTTACGACATGCATTTAAATAAAGTTATTCATATCCGCTAACTCTACTGGGGCAACCACTCTAAAGGGCTCCACATTGTCAAATTACAATGACTAGGAAGATACATGAATGTTTTGTGTTTGAGGGTAGTCAGAGGGGAGCTGGGGAAAGACATCGCTGGAGGGAGGCGATGACAGAGGGCACGTTCTCCCGAGGACAGGCAGAACGCTCGCACGTGTTCTGTTTATGGAAATGCTGCCACTGGAGAATGTTGGCCTATTGACTACAGAAGCCTAGTTTCATGCAATTTTCTTTAAGGGGAATAGAAAATAGGAACTACTTTAAAAAAATCAAACCAGGCACAGTACACTCAAAGTTGGTGTATCAACACCCCTAAAATGATACTAGTTTGGTGAGGTTGCCAATACCTCTCCCTGGTTACGCACTCTCGTGAGAGGTGCGTTTGATGTGGGAGGGAGAGTCCCCCTCACCTCGCACGTTCCTGAAGAGGACTTTCAGCTTCTGTGGCTCACTAGTGCGCCTCCTGCTGAAGTCAGCTCGTGGGTGTGCTTGGGCGCAGTGATCTGTCTGCAGGATGTAGAAGAGGCTGGCCATGTTGGGCCCAATTTTCTCCATCAGGCTGTCTCTGATTGTGCTGACAGTGTCTTCGTCACATTCCAGAAGGCTACGGACGAGTCTGTTATAGTATCTGCAGTGGGAAAGAAAGCGTGCATGACACTCACTCGTGTGAACAAACTAAGATCTGAGCTTTCTCATGGTCTTTATGCCGCCAACAGTAGTTCCCAATGGTTGAACCATGCAAACACAACTAGCAAATCAGCTGAAGATGGCTTTAGCTTTCTACCTCAAACAGTGTCTTCTTAGCCTAAGTGACATGTTCCCTGGGTTTACCAGGCCATACAAGATAAATCTATCTTCATATTTAGAGTTAAGAAGATTTAGATCACACTCTGAAGCAAAGGCCAACTTGTCGTCTGAAAAGTTTTAGAAACCCTCTTATTTTAGAGGACACCATGATCCAGGGGACCATTTTGGTGGGCTACATGGCACTATGGAGACCATTCAGTCATCAATTCAACTCTCCTTTTGTAGAGAAAAAACTAAGGAGAGCTGGAGATTATACAGTGGGTCACTGACAGAAGTGGGACTTAGTCAAATGCACTGAATGCAGTAAGGTGAGCCCAACACTCAATGCTGATAATAAAATTACTGCACATGGTCTTACAATTATCTTGATGCTTCTTGGCAGTTTTCTTCCTTGGTGCAGATGAGTACATTTTCTGACTGAACTTTTAGTCCCTGTCTTTTGTGCCTCAGGGAGTTTTCCACAAAATTGCTTTTTATTACCACACATTCTCCTAACCTTGGTAAAGGCTATTGACAGACTCTACTTTCAGATTTCCTCCAAAAGCCTGCTGTAGTGAGAAGCCAAATGCTAGGCACTGAGGATATTTAAGAGAAAACACGAATGGTCCCTAAGTGTCTATGCTTCTATACCTCCATGAGAACGTTTTCTACCACTTGGGCTTTTGCTCGCTTCCTTCTCATTTAGGCATCTTATTGGTACTTGGTTTCTGTCACAAAAGCGAGTATCTGATGGTAGATTTGTTTGTCTGACCAGGTTGAAGAGTTGTCACAGGAAGGGCTTGTGCCCTATTTGTATCCCTCACATGTAAGTGTTGTGAGGTTAAATGACTACTCACTGAAGACTTTTAAATTGATGTTGTGGTCACTGAGGAAATCTAAATTTAAAAACAGTATTCTCCCCAATGACAACGATTTGCTAAAGAACAAGTACGCATAGATCTGGTAGACTTCACAAGAAGAAAATCCTTGTGTCTCCTGAAAACTACTTTTGTCTTTGGAACAATTTTTTTAAACATCCCAAATAATGCAGTGAAGCATTACGGTTTAGAAAGGATTCAGCTACCTAATAACCAGAACATATAAATGTCTTGTGATGCTCTCTGGGGAAAGTTCTGGTACTTTCCAATGTGTGTTGGGATGCATCTGCTCCATTGTGAGGTGACAGTTGTCAAAACCCATTAGCTCTGTGTTGGCTAATAGGAAACTGCCCTGATGATAGTGACCTGCTGTACTTATGTGGGGAGACCCTTTCCTCAGAGGAACTAGAGGATCTCTCGGGCCACAGGATCTTCCAGGAAAAGAAACCTATTTATTTTTAACTCACCTCCTGGAGCACAGGATCAAACATCTTTCCAGAATAACTTAACCCCCAGAGAGGTCCTTTCAAGGATGTACAGTAAACAGAGTGGCACGCGGGGAATGAGGTGAGCACTCGCTGACCCCTCTGTGGTAAGAAGATGACAGAGGTGGTGTCTGGGTTGCCTACAAACTCCTATCCTGTACCCCTCCCTCTGGGGACAATTATATCCAGCTGTGAGTGAAGCTGGGATTCTCTGGCACACAGGAACATTTTCTAGCCCTTTGGAATTATGAAGCACATGAGTCAAGTAGCACTTGGACAGAGGAATGGGGAGAAAAGTGGTTTTGGAAAAACTGAGAATGATCAACTCTGTACCAACAGCTTCAGACAGCTGCAGATGCATTGGTCTCCAGGCAGCTCTTAGCTCCTGGGCTCCGTCAGGACCTGGGTTCCCTGTGTCTATTTAAGAGTACAAGTGACTCCCAAAGGACAGTGTCCAATAAGGACTTTATAACTTAGAAGTGAACTCCTCCACTTCTAGAAAGTTCCGTTTATGCCAGATGAATCCTCAAATGGGCTAGAAAACATGATCCTTCCTTAGAAATAAACAGAAAGAGTAGGAAGTTCTTTCTTCTTAGAAAGAATTGGAAGTGCTTCTCTGGCTGCTGAAGGTTACTGTCCTTAAAAGCATTAACTTCACTAGCTAACATTGCCTCTTCAGGGCCATGTGTTTCCTGTGTCCTCACTTGGTCAAAGTGTTTGCTTTCTTTCTCTGAGGACTTTTCCCTTCAGCGTTGCTTTCTCTGGTGTCCCAGCCAGGTCACTTAATTTCTGTGTTTCTTGATCCTCATCTTTGCCAACCTGACTGCTTTTAGTGATCCTCCACCCCACATCTAAAGTAGCCCAGAACTCCTCTAGCAGCTCTTGAAAGGCTGAAAACTTTGTCAGGTTGCCTTTCCACTGACACAGTTAACCCTTTTCCTCTTTATTAAGGATGGACTACAGAACTGACCTCTGGAATGTGCTGGTCCACAAGACAGATCTTTCCTCTAGGTCACTGAGTGCAAGAGATTATTTTTAGAAGTTGTGCCTCAAGCAAGAGTTGACTTAGCCACTGTCGCTTATTGAGCACCATGTTGTACCTCACAGTTACTATAGCTATTGGGCAGACAGGCCTTTTCCTGTAGGACACAATGTGTGAGAACTGAATTGCTGACCACAGTGGTGGCCATATATATTCAATTGTGCTTGTGCTCTATTTTTGGGTTGTGGATATTTCTTGCAGGCTTTTTTGGCTGCCATTTTTGAAATCAAAATAACTTGGCTCAAGGCCACATGAATTCTGGGCCTGGTTCGGCTACTCACAAGCTGTGTGACCTTCAGCAGGTCAGTCTGTGCAGAGCTTCCTTCTTTAGTCAGTAAAATGAGGCAGTGAATCTACATACCAGTTGTCTTCAGTGATGACTCCCTATACCTCCAAGGATTCAGGAGGGGTTTATCTTCACAATTCAACCAAAAATACTGCAGCCCAGGGTAAGGACCCACTTTGCAGGGAGAGTTAGGAATATTTAAGAAGATCCTTTTGTGTGAGCAGAAGGGGACATGGCACGGTCAGTGGTCACTTAGGCAGATCACTTTGGCTGGAAGGACCTTTTCAAGCATGTTTTGTCCCATTTTGAAAATAAATTTCATCCTAGTTTTTTTTTCATCTTGGTGAAGAGTAAGATCAGATGTTCTCCATAGCTACTGGTTCAGCCATGCTTACTCAAATATTCACATACTGCCTAGGAACGTTCTGTGTGAGAGTTTATAAATAGTCCTTTGTTTCCCTTGATCAATATTATTCTTCTGTTTCCTGTTCCCTATCCTTGCCCTAGAGAGTTGGATGCTTGTGTCAGTTTTCCTACTCTGGATCTGGGTTGGCCTAGTTGGTTCCCAAGCTCCACACCGCCTTGCCTGCTTGACCAATTCTGCCTGCTTCCTTATGGCCAAAGGTAGAGCTTGCCAGGGGGACGCTCCAACTGTATTTTCTGGCTTAGGTGAACTTCTGTCATGGAAAATCCCCTTGTTCTGCCTCCTGGGCCAGTCAAAGGCTTTTGGATTCTCCTAGCCCCAAATCTCATGCGAGATAAGTCACAGGAAGGTGGAATGAACCTGTAACTACTTCCTTTTGCAGTTCCTTGCCAATTGGCACCAACTTAGTGTGTGTCTATGGTGGGACAGAGGCTGGGAACGCAGGATGTTTTAGGAGGGTGAGGAGTTTAAATAGAGCAAGGCGAGCCCAGCCTGGAACCGGAAATCTCTCCAGTCCTGAACAAGAATAATATTAGCCTGCTGAAGTAAAATACTTGGAGAAAGGTAAGAGCTACACAAGAGATGCTGGCCTTTAAGAGCTGGCCATACTTTTCCCCCACTGACCTTTTTTATTACATGTGAATCCCACAAGATGAAGGAGGAGATGGGAAAACTTTATGACAGTTTTCTAAGAGTGTTGAAAAACAAGGCATATACTAAAAGGAAGAGTAGGGAGGGGAAGAACTTGGCCTTGGGAGGATGGCATCGCCTGCCTAACCTTGACACCCTCCTTTGGATAGCACACCTCCCTTCATAATAGAAGACTATGAAAAGATTATTCCAGTTGAAATAGCAAGATCAATCTTGCCTGGAAATTGGTCACAGGCCATAGTGTAGATCATATTTGTCACAGGATACCTAAGGATCTAAACTTGTAACAATGGCTTTGTTGGCACTCCCCTCCCCCCAGGGCTGCAACACACCCTTCCACCTTAGCCATAGTCTAATTAACAAGCCTTCATTTCATTTCCTGGTGGTCAAGGGGGTTTGTAGCAATTAGCCAGGTCATCCCTCCCCGCTATGCAACAAGAGTCTTCCTGGGTGATTTTTAAAGCCAGAGTTGCTAAACAGAGACAAGATCTTTGAGAGAGAGGGTGGAGGCAATTTCTTTGTTCTGAGAACATTGGTTAGAACATCATGATAGAGTTGCCCTTCCATGCACCAGGTAAATGATTTGCATAAATGAACTTGCAGTTTTGAAGGGCAATGATGTATAGTTAAGAGTGAATCAGAAATTGTTATGTTGGAGACCTGAACAAAACCTGAGGTAAGAGGCCACTTTTCTGGTCTTCCATTGTATACGTGTGCATGGATAGTCACGCCTAAGCCATTCTGAAGGCAGATGCAGGTGCCTAGCAATGAAACATATCAAGTAAGCCTGTAATAACTCTCAGAGGATCAGAATAGCATGGAATTGACCTTTAGGACTATGTGCAGATTTTGCAGAGCATCAAAGAACCACAGAACTTCAGGACCAGGGGCCCAGTTTTAGGGCAAGGTGCACCACAGTAGCTTGCGTTTGCCTGCCCATGCCAGCACTCCATGCCAGCCCTACCAGCCCCTTTAGTTTTTGCTGGAAACCTTTCCTGCCCACTTACAAGGGCCAGGATGCTAGCCTTCTTGGGCATCAGTTCAGTCCTTGCTGGGAAAGGCAGTGAAGCAAGGCACAGCCAGACATGGGTCTCAGAGACTGTAAGTTCAGTGGCTTTGGATCAAGCAAGATCAGCCAAGATTTGAATGGGACCTCTGTGGTCACCAGAACTTCTTCCTGGGCAGTCTTGGGTGGGAGGGATAGGATAACATTAGACCTGGAAGGCAGTCTACCAGTGCTCCACTCTAGTCCTTTTGTGTTTCAGAGATTTAGGAGATAAAGGTAGCTTGTTCTGAGTTAGCCAGAAAAATATCTGATTGGGGTGAGAACTGATTTGAAACAATCCAGATTTACAGAAATTCTGCATTATGACATTTAGCCAGTATTTTTTTTTTTCTTTGTCATGGCCAATTATACCACTGCACAGTCATGTTTTCAGCCAAATCTTATGTCTTAAAACGTGGTTTCCAGAAAGTTCACCTTTTCCTCCAGGCTTGTGGCAAGAAATGAACAAAGAAAATGCACCCAAGGATGCTGCAGATGAAGCTTTCTGGTAGCGGCATGAAAAGACTTTTTCTCTAACAGTGGGGGGAAAAATCCAAGCTGCTTAAACTGTCACTACCAATCACAAACATATTTTCCTGCAAAAGCTGGGAAGGCTGCAAGCTAAAATAAGAGTGTGACTGGCAATTTAACCCTCGTTCCAAGACTGGCTATGCCAGCCGTCCCCCTCCCCTCTCTGCCTGCAGCCAAGGGGTTGCAATCGCACCTGTTGGAGTAGTGATTGGGCAGTTGCACGACCTCAGTGATGGCCTCAGGGTTGCGCTTGGCGATGCTGCATACATTCAGCTTGCTGTAGCACTCTTCCTGAACCTCAGCAATCATCCTCTGGAAAGTAGAGCACCTCCGGATGGCGAGGAAGACCTTGGAGGTGACCCCATTGGCGATGCACTTCAAGCTCTCTTTGACAAAGGCTTTTCCCTGTGGAGGAGAAGGGCGGATGGGAGGCCAAACTTTAGCTTGACCTGATGAACGAGGTCAGGGCATACAACCTGGGGACCTCCAAGGGGCTCACTGTGGCACCTCCCACGGCCATGTGCGTGTCCTCGCCATGAGATGATTTTACCCCCTGCCCCCCATGATTTTTGTTTTTAATTCCATTCCCATTAGACTTATCTTGAGAACTGAGCTCTGGAGAAAGGATATGAGATTAGCTTGGAAATTGTCATAATCCTACTCTGCATCCTTGTTTCTGAATCTGATAATTCAGATCACAAAGGTAATAAGCCACACCATGCAGCAAGAACTTCTCTGTTGGAAGAACATTTTTATTTCCTCTTCAAGAGGAAAAGCTTTCCTATCCATTACTCCTCCCCTCACAGGCCAGCTTCTGACAGCTCCTGCCAGTTTTGGGAGTGGAGGTTGGGACTCTGGCCCAAATGGGTGTGTGTGTGTGTGTGTGTGTGTGTGTGTGTGTGTGTGCACGTGCACCCAAAGAAGGAAATTTCATGTAGGGAGGCTGGAAAGCAGGCTGCTTCCCTCAACTGCTTCCTAATCAAGAGTCCAACTCTAGCTAATGACGAGCAGCTGAGGCATGCCAGGGCCTTATTACCTGAGTGTCAAATTTAGCAGCGCTGTACAAGAAGGACTTGCAGATGTCATACATGCCATCTGTGTCACAGGTGGAGTTTTCCAGGCACGCGAAAGCCCCACAGCCAACCTGCAGAGCGCCGTTGAGGCAGCGAACCACTTCAGCTGGAAGAGACAAGCGTTCAGTCTCAGTCAAACACAGGTGCTGGGTGGGATCCAGTGGGTGCAGACAGAAAGTTCAAGGACAGAGGATCAGCGGAACTTAGCCCAGAGATCTGTCCTGAGGGACCTTGGAGGCACCCATCTGAAGGATGGGGAGAGAGGGGGATGGGCAGGCCCTTGCTGTTCAGAGCTTGAACTCTAGGAAGGGGAGGGATGCCTTCTCCCTGTGCAAGGCATTTTCTCCATCTCAGCACTGCAGGCCTCTGACTGGGCAAGTGAGGCTGGCCTCTGAGCAGGGCGCAGTGGTTTTCACCTCTGGGGAATTGAAGTTCATTGCTTGGTGACCGAAGGCACAAGGGAGCAGCAGCAGGCAGGGGCTAGTGGTCAAATGTAGGAGCTGAGAGGGGCAAGGAATCTGTCTGGCTTCCAAAGAATACACTCCTGAGTGAAAAGCATGGAATTGCCATCCAGAGAATTTACCAGGAGTCCACCTGGAAGGAGACCCTTCTGATTTGGGGCTTTTAAACTTACCATCATCCTGGCAGAAAGGAATCTGATCCATTGATGCCCACCACCCCCGTGCTTAGAGTGCTTAGAGGTATGTATAATCTCTGTCAAATTAAAGGTTTTTTTTTTTTCTTAAAGAGAGAAACACAGGTGTGCAATAACAAGGCCAAGGCACCCCTTGTGCAAGACTGGAAGAAAACCACAAAGAACTTGCATGAGCTTTTCTACATTCTGGATAAGATCTCTCATAAAAGTAATTTCTCTCCCACAGAAGGGGGGTGTTCTGGCAGGCAGCTCGACAAGAAATGATCTGTAGCCCTCATACCATAGGATTCTTCGCTGAGATCAAAAGCGTGGTTCAGTTAGGTTTCCCCACCCCCTCCCACCACCCGCAGCCTCTGGGATATTACAAGTCATTTCCCTAATTATATATTTCCACGGGTTCAAATTATAACTTTGCTTTAAGCAGTTTTAATATGCATTAGGGCTGCTATTGTTTTAGGCAAGCTCGAATTGTGAATCACGGCATCTCTATAGCAACTAAGTACAAAAGGAAGTAAGGCAAAAGCCCTCCCCTCCCTTAGGCAGGGACCTGCGCTCTTCCAAGGGGAACGTCTGGTCTGCAGCATTTTGACACCTGCGATCCCCTCTCTGCTGACAGTTGGGGAAGAGGGGACAGGAATGGAAGGGGAGAGAGCGGGGCGGGAGGAGTCAAGGGGCAGAGGTGTCAACGCAGGCTTCCTCGTGCCTCTTCCTTAAGAGGCCAGGGGCAGACACAATTAACTGCTCCGGGAGTCAGGGTGAAAGTAAGACCTTCCTCTGGAAGAAACAGCTGCTTCATTTCACAAATGGTCTTTTGCAAGGGGCTCCTGGCCATCGGGCTGCATGCGGAGTGGATGGAGCACGAGGAGCTGGGAAGGAGGGAGAGAGGCAGGGTGGGTGTGGGGGGTGGGATGGGTAGGGTTTCCTCTGTATCCGCCCTGGATTTGTCAGACTGAAAAGGGAGCTTCTCTGTGTGCTCTCTAAAGAGGCAGAGACGTCAAGTTATAGGGTCTTACGGGGGAAGGGGGAGGGCCGGCATCAGAGCAGCCGTGTCTCACCTTAAGACCGGCTTCTGGAAAGTATAGAGAGCGCTTTCAAGCATGCCAACATGCAAGCGTTCCCCGCCCCCTCCCCCCGAGAGGGTACGTGCCAGATTTCAGGCAATCAGGCTAGGCTTATGCAATGAAATACCCTCAGCACATCGCCCGGCTTCTTCTTCTTCTTCGGTAGTCGCATGCAGTTTATTAAACAAAGGAGCTCCACTTCCTAAGGCTATTGGATTTCACTAGCAGTTTATTGCCACCAGGCACGAAGCACATTTATTATCAAGATCAGCCGTCACAGACACAGTTGCAAAAGTGGGAGGCAAATGAGGACAGCTCTTTCGGGGAGAAACCGGTCCCGGGTCGGCGCTTACCTGAGTTCTGAGCTGCCACTCGGGATTTCCTGGGGCTCACAGAGTCATTCTGCTCCGCCTCGTGGGTTGCAGAAGCACTCATCACCAGCACCAGAAGCACTGCTGAGTTTTGGAGCATTCTCTGAGAAGTTTCCGCTAAGTTGTTGGGTTTTTTTTTTTTCCTCCCCCCCTTTCCTCTTTCCCTCTCCCGGCTCGAGTGAAGACGTGGATCTGGATGTACTGAGAGCGTAGGTGAGGATTTGATGAGGGCTGCTGCTGGGCGGCTGCTGCTGCTGCTGCTGCTGCTGCTGCTGCTGTTCCTGCGGACTCGGCGGTTCCTGCTGTGTCTGTGGCTGCAGTCTCTGCTTCTTGCACCTCTGGCTTTTGCAAACTGGGGGCCTAAGAGCTGCACCCAGGGATTTTATAGCCGTTCTTATCGGTCCTTAGGATCAGGGACCAATCACGTTCCTCAACTGGCCTGGCTAGCCAATAGGAGGGCACGCTATTTCAGCTGGAGCTTTTTGACTTCTTAGAAATATTTTCCAGCAAATTAAAAGTACCTGCTGCCAATGTTTTACGTGTGTGTGTGTGTGTGTGTGTGTGCGCGCGCGCTGTGTGTGTGTGCAGAGATGTGTGAAAAAGCTATTTTCATGGAATCAAGGAATAACTCTGTACTGATGGAACTGAACGAAAATTATGTGGAAATTTCTCCAAGGTGCCTTTTGAAATTTATTCATCTGTAAGAGAAACTAGCTGCTGGGGGAGACTTGGGGAGCGTGGGTGGGGTGGAGAGATGTGATCTCTTTGGATTAGAATTTAACCTAATTACAGCACTTTTACTCTAATTTTAACAGGGTGCACCCTGCGTTGTAAGCCGTGTATGTGTGTCACGTCTCCACATCTCTGTGCGCACGTGGTCGTGTATGCTGTGCACGTACGGCGCATGCTGCGGTGCACGCACACCCTGAGTTTTCGCTCCCAGGAGCCCACAGGGAGGAATGCAGGCCAGTGAGAGAGCCCCGCGGACATGACGTGAGGGCCTGAGCGGGGCTCCGGGCTCCTGGCTGGCTTGCTCGGTGCTCTTGGTGCAGTCCTTTTCTCCTGCTCTTCCTCAGTGTTCAAATCTGTAAAATGCCCACACCGAACGCTGGCATTTCTTCCACCTCTTAAATGATGTGGTTCTCTAGTCACATACACTACAAGTCTCCATCTTTTTTTCCCCTTCTTTTTTGTCACTGGCAGGATTTCAAAACTCCACGAGTGTCCGTTACTGTTGTAGACGCACACAAGCACGCCCCACTCTCACCACATTCAAGACAGACATGGTGAATGCCTGAGAATTAATAAACTGTGTATTCAGGCTCAGCTACCTCATAATCACGTTGAAACAATAAGCTGGTCAAAGCAAGACTAAACCTGCTGGGTAAACCAGTTCATTTCTTGGGGGGTGGGGAGGAGGCGGGGTGGGGGTGGGGCGGGGACTGGGAAGAGGGGTAGGGAAAGAGCAGAATGTGTAGGAGAGAGGACTGATAAACTCTGGGCTTAATGGGAAAATTACAGTGAAATCACAAATCCTGCCCAGTATAGTAGCTCATATTTTCTTGTAAGTGGGCTGCAGGCAACACCGAGGCTTGTCCCTAACTTGTGAAGGAGGTTAACGACCCATGAGAGGACCGCTTAGGGCAGGAAGGTGGTCATTAAAGGCTGGGGTGAGGTGAAGGGATTAAACAATGAAACCTTTAAAAAATGTTGAGGAGGTAAATGGGAAAGGGCCACTGGTGATTCCTACAGACTTGGGCAGGTTGACCCAGGACAGAAGGTGGAGCCAGCGACTACAGATCTTAAACCCTTCAAATGAAAGTTAAAGAGAGCCAACTCTCTAACCAAATGGAGGTCAGTTGGATCTATGTGGAGGGAAGGGGTTGTTGAGTGACTTATAGCCTATGCTTGGGGGAGGGGGAAGGGTTGCAGAGATGGAAGAAAGAATACAGAAGGTATCTAAAAGGGGTTGGCAGAATGTCACTAAGTAACTCATCCATCCTATTTGACATCCATTTAAGTCAGTCTTGCTATTTCTCTTGTACCTTTCCAGCTGAGATACACGGGAATGGTTAGGGGAAGGCAAATGACACCAGACCCAGCAGAAGGCAGATGAACCATTCTTGATCTTGCAGTGTTTGCAGCCAGGTAGGGGAGGCGGCCAAGCCCAGTGATTCCCTCTGAAAGGTGCAAGCCGTCCAGACCTTGCTGGGTGGGACACAGGCACAAGGAGCATTAGCTAGAGAGGTGAGGGGAGCATGGCAGACTGCCCTTCAGGCGTGATCTGTGGGGACAGACTGTGAGCCCGTCTTTCTTTTCTAAGTTTAGAAATAAGTGCTAATATTTTAAAAATAAAATTCTTGTTCTGGAAAGTCCCAAGGCTTTTTTAAAAAAGTGCTTTGGACAAGAGTGGTTGATGTCCAGTGGTGTGGAATAGACTATTCCAGGTTCTTTTCGGATTGTACTTCCCTTGTGCTGGTCTGCCAGGTGGGCGGTGAGAGGGTTTCCTTCCAACCACCCACTGCCTTCTACCTTCTTTCTGATACTCTCACCAGAACACAATGTCCTACAAGAATCAGAATGTCTTCTGTGTGTTCTTCTTCCAAGTTTCATTTATTTTCCTTCTTATTGTGCTCACTCACCAGCGCCCGCCGGGAGGTTCGTTGCAAGGTGTGTCAATGTTTCACAATGGCGGGCATGCTGTCATTTGAAGAAACACAATGGCTATCTGCCACTGTGGCCTCAGTGTGACTGGTGTGTACATGAACGCATCTGAGAAATGAAAAGGTAGGAGTTGAAGTTCCAGTGGGAATGCTCAGTGCAAAGTTCCTTCTCAGACGTCCATAATCTGAGCATATTTGAAAGTCTACAGTTATTCCATCTGCTGTCTTGCATGTTGATGCAGCAGTGATACATCTTGGGAGCTCCTCAGGTGACTTCTGGTCCCTTTGGAGTTTTATTACGGATACATGGGCATCCTGAATAGGAATTGTTAAGCCACATATTGAAATTAGTGTTTGGGGACAATTTCCTCATTTTTTGTAGAACACTTGGACAAGGAAAAGGATGGGGGTTTTCTGACTACTTAGTAACACCAGTTTGTATTGAAGTGGTTAAGATGGCAACAGGAAAGGAAGATAAATATGAGGAACATTTTAAATAAATGGATATTCTCAAGTAAGCTAAAGACTTGGGGAATGGAAATGGAGAGGACCCATGTCACACATGTGCTCCCCATTGTTTGGTCCTGGTAATGCCGTAGTGAGGGCTGCTGAGTATGTAGGGGAGGCAGGCACTTTCTGGGGTTCTGTGAGGTTGTAGAATTCATTACCCATTAAAAGACTTGGACGATATTTAATGTAGGTGAGGTGCTTTCCAAGCCAGGCTGCACAGTTGGAGGTGCCCCCAGGTGCCACGGGTGGGAGGGAGGGCGCCTTGTGCCTTTGCCCTGAGCAGGAAAAGTGCTAAGAAGTGTGAAGGAGCAGCTGCCAACACCCCCGGCGGGATGACGATGCCCTGGCTGTGCCCGTGCGAGGCTGGCATGAGTTCAGTGAGAAGATTAAGCCAAAAATCTCTATGGCTTTGTTGGATTTGGCTAGCTTAGAGCTAAGTAGTGAACAGCTCTTTGCCTTTTGGGTGAAAGGAGCTCAAGAGCATGGTTTCGTTGTAAATGCTCTTTTCATTAACAGAGTGCGAGACCCAGCAAGGTTGCTTTGACATAGTGACCAAGGTTGGGTTCTTTTTTCTTTGGCAATTCTGTGTGCGTGTGTCTGTGTGTGTTGAACTGTTGAGTCATGGCTTCCTAAAATCAAGACAAAGGGGAGGAAGACAGTAAAGGAGGAAGATGAGGGAACAGCATTTTCCACCATTTTTCCCCCTGTGGACTCCAGGTTTCCTGTGTAGTTGGTTTCAAAGTCTTGCACGAATCTGTACTTCTTATGAACCTTTGATTGCTTTGAAATCTGCCAAAGAA